TATATATATATATATATATATATATATATATATATATATATATATATATATATATATATATATATATATATATATATATATATATATATATATATATATATATATATATATATATATATATAGTCGAAAGATAGTTTATCAATGGATTTATTTTATCAATAGTAATAGTTTATCTATAAGAAAATTTTATCAAAGGTAATTTTTTTCAAATTATTAAAATTATAAAATAATAATATATTATTTATATTTACCCTCTTTTGACGATGTATATATCGTCAAAACATTTTGTAAGTTTTATGTCTAACTTTGTATCTGTATATAATTTACATACATATAGACATAATTTCTACTATATTTTAAGGAATAGGTTTAGCATCAATTAAAGTGTGATGTTAACAAAAATTTCATGATGTGTGCGTCAAAAACAACAATTTGATACTTTTCATAAAATTTTAGAAAACTTTTAGAAAAAAGTTTCAAGTGTAATACTGCTAGTTCTTGTTTTTTCGCTGCCTAAAATTTTTTGATGCAAAATCATGGTTTAAAGTTTCAGAGCTTGACAGTAGTAACCCTGACAGTAGCACCACTGTTATAATAGTTTAGCTGGAAGGAACGCGCAGCCAAAAATCGTCATAAATTGTGATTCAATCATAATAGTACAATTATTTTAACCTTAAGTCAAAATGGTGATGGAAAGAGATAACTTTGAAAGGTAGTTTATAACCTTTGAGAGCTGTAATCGAAAAGATTAAAAGTTGATCGGAAAAGTTTTTAACAACTGTTCGAATTATCAAGAAGTAGTCACAACAAAAATCGAGATCTACGTAAAGCAATCGTTTTTTGAATACCTTAATACTAGTTTTAATAATCAAAATTTTAAACAGTCTCTTTTTAAACTTTATTTTTTGTTTCCCCATTAAGCTATTAGTGAGGTATGTTCTTAAATAACGTTTCTTTAGCAAGGAAATTGTTATCTTTCCTTTAAATCAAACAAAAATACTACAACACAAACTAAAATAGTTTGTGTTGTAGTATTTTTGTTTGATTTAAAAACAACTGCTATATTTAAACACCTTTTTTGTAAATCCGGCAAAAGTATTACGAATTCTTATTTAGATATTTATTAGGCCGGGTAAATAAAAAAAAAATTTTTTTACTTGGTTATTGGTCAACTCTACGTGAATAAAAACTTAAGTAATTTTGCTCAAATTTTGAGTCACGTAAAGCGGAACAATTACTACAAAAAAGGCTGAGTGAAAGCAATTGCTTTTTTTATTCACATGGCGTAATAATTCAATATAATCGTTTTAAAAAGATTTTAAACTCATTACAAATTTTTTTAATTCTTTTATTTACAAAGTATTAATTTCTTTGTGTCGTTTTAAAAATAACTATTTTTAAAAACTTTGAAAATATTATTTAAAATTTTTTTTATAGTGGATTTCAATTGGATACAGTGACGGATACAGAGCGATGGGGTACCCCCTTTCCATACCAAAATCTGAAATTCCTTAAAAATCTTAGAAATGAAAGACTTTTTTTTAAGAGACTCCAATGTGATACAAAATACAAAAATATTTCTTAATCCCTCTCCCCTCCCTTTCTTCCTTTTCCTCCACGACAAAAATTCCTGGATAAATCACTGATCTTAACGTAAAGTGACTTAATTAATCTTATTGTAAAATGACTTTTACTCCGTTCTCATTCTAGCTGTAGTGTACTTCTTTGGTAATATATCGATGTTAATTTTATTTATGGTTTGAATTCAAATTAGGATAAAAAATTTTTCTGGTCGGATAAGTTTTAGTGCTCAATAAGACGTTAAAAAATTATTAATTTATTAACTTTAAAAAAAAAATTAAAACGATTTAAAATAAAATAAACTAGTTGAAGTCTCTTTCTTAAACAGTTTGTTGATTAAGCAAACAATAAACTTTTTAAATAAAATCAATCATTATTTATAAGGATTTGCTACATAAAATTATTATATAACTTATTCAATAAATTATTTATTTAAACTATATAAATGTTTTATTATCCGTTTGTTTTTCTTAGATCACATTCGCTATTTTCTTGATTGAATTTTATTTAAATGAAACTATTGTTTTAATTGTATATTTTTTGTAAACATTTTGAAAAGACAGGAAATCTTTAACTCAATGAGCTTTTTCAACCAGTTATTTTTGTGATGAGCATTATAGATTTTTTAGCAATTGCGAGCTATTGAAATACTTCGCTCTACCCTGAGTTGAAAACTTTCACCTTAACCGTATTCAATAGCCTGTAGTTTCACTTACAAGAACATAAAAAGATTTACGATTTGGCAATTTTTTAAAAATAAATAAAATAGGTTATATTAATTCTATAGTAAACTTAATTGGTAACAATTGGTAGCAAAGAGGAATAAACAATATAGTTAGATCCTAATTATTCAATTATTTAGATTTTCTATTGATCTTTCATAAATTACGCTAAAAAATAAAAAGAAGTATGAGATCATAGATGTGCTCTTTCACGCAGCGGTTGTTATTAAACTTAGAGCGCTTTAATTTATGGTTTAATTAAAGACTCTACGAGGAAAAACTTTTCATCATTTTCGTTTCGTCTTTTAATTGAATTAAGCATTACGTAATTTTAGACGATCCAAATACATGGACGTTTGGATGGATATTTTCATGAGTTTTGTCCTTTAGCTACCACAACAAACTGTGTTAGTTTTTTGAAATAATTTTACTTGACTACGATTTCTCTTACGTTCTCGTTGTATTTTATTTGGATTAAAAACAAATGAGTATCTTATTGACTAACAGACACTTATTTATGCATAATGCGGTGAAAATTCGAAGAACTTATTTTGCCAATTTTAAAAAACAACAGAAACGATAAATTAAATGTACGACTAAAATGAGCATTTTTTTGTGAAAAACACTAAGTCATTTTTTTTTGTAAAAAATACCAAGCGAACTTTGGATTGCTTAAGGTAGGTGAAGAAATAGGATTGTCAGTATTTTTTTTCTTTGCATATCAATAGACAGCGTTTGTTATAGGAATGTTACATACCAATATTTGACTTTTTATATTTTCACAATTTAACTGCACTCTACTGACCGCCACTAAATTTTAAAAACTAATTTTGAATTTTTTACCAAGCATTTGCTAGTATTGTTGTTTAAATCGTACGTTGCTAAATATTTCAAAAATTAAAAAAAAACATTAAAAATATTCTTATCGGCACTACAATCTTTAAATATTTTTAGAATAAAAATTTAGTGAAGTATCCTGGGATCTAGGTAACTAAAATAGAGTTGTTGGGAAAGATGTGGGTTTGCTGTGTTTGGAAAAAGGGAAGAGTTAAGGCCGTGTCCCCTGTTTCTCCAACATGTTTTTAAAGCTTTAGAAACAAAACATAAGAGAGATTTTATCCTCACATAAGTGCAAATGCGTGGGTTTCTCTCGTAAATCATCATGTTAGTCGATGACAGAGTGTTCGCCGACGTCAAGCGGTCCAAGGCCTGCCGAAGACCGATAACCTACAAGAGTTGACTGGCGGTTTAAAACTGACTCAACAGCGGCGTCGGATTACCTCTAACTAGTTAGTTCGCTGCCATGGATTGTTATCTCTGTACTAAATGAAACTCTTTACATATTATACCAGGTGTTGTATCCACCGCACGCGAATCCACGTAGGTTGTCTGGAAAGTCAGCTCCACTGATCATACTTCCGACCGTTTTGACATGTAATCATCGGGCTAATTGCTCAACCGTCACACGTGAAGCAAGTTGCCTTACGACCTTGTGCATCATTATCCAACTACCTTGGGCATTCACCGCAAACTTTCAAGTCTCGATCCCAAAAGATGTTTTCTTATAATTTGGGTGCTTTCATTACATGCAATTATTTGTAACGGTCTTCCGACCTTGGCTAGCTTCAACTTGCTAAGTATCCGCTGGGTTTTACGCGTAATTGTTCCAATCGCCCCTACTGCAATACCTATAACTGATATTTCATTAGCACTTCTGCCGTTATTCCCCTCATGTTCTTGAGTACAACTCTTGTCAAGCTTGAGTGGCTCGTATTTAGCGACTTTTGCATCTTCGCATTGACTTAGGTGTCTTTCCGATCTCTCGTACGGACATGCGATATCGATGACAAAAATCACACCATCATTTGGCTTCGCTAAATAAAAAATATTCGGCGCAAATCTTGATATCTTGTATATCCAGTTACATAAGATCAGGTAAATCTACTTTAGAGCTAAACTTTTGGTTAAGTATTATTTAAAATGTTTGACTAAAATTAATTATTTTAAGTTTATATAGATTATAATAAATTGCTCATTTTTAACTACAATGCGTTACCTGTCCGCGTTTCTTTAAACTATCTAATATACACAACTACTTTTTACTTTTGTTTTTATTTACTTCTTCTACAAACTCATATACTCTTGTTTCATTGAAGCGAGTAATGTTGCTTTTCTGTGAGCTAAACTTGATTTTGTAGACCTAGGTATGTGGCCTCTATATAGAAATTCCCGGTTGAGGATAAACCATAATACTTTACTTAAAATCTTTAGATCCGGATTTTTAAAGATTTAAAATAGTAATTTACGTATAACCCTTGCTCTAAAGTATGGCTCAAAGAATAGGCTGTTAAAATTTAAAAATATATAAAAGATAAAATTAAAAAAACACAAAAAAATAACATAAATATATTAGTATATGAAAACATATCTTTATAAAATTTTGATTACTAAATTAAGTAAAGTTTTAAAAAATTTGTGCACATCACGGTACATTTATATTGAAACGTTGTATATTTAAAAAATATAAAACGAGCTTTTTGTTGTAATGTTATATACCTTACAAAAAAAGCTCGAACAAACACACCAACGTACGCACACACAATAATGGTTAAAAGTTATAAGGCAAATTTAATTCAAAACTTTTTTAATCAAATATAATATTTTATTTGATAAAATTTAAATAAGTATTAACGATACCTTACGTTTCAGTCGTTCAAAGTTGATTTATTTTTTAATTTAACCAATCAGTCAATCTTGTTTTTAATTTAACCAATCAGTCAATCTTGTTTTATTTTAAAAATGTAAATAAAAATCAAAATCTGTCTTTAAAACTAAGAGAAGAATACTGTTAAATACTGATCAAACCATTGAGTCATGTGAAAAATTCTTATCATTGCAAAAAAAAAAACACTGTCACGGTGAGCTGTGCAACCTACGGAGGTAATAAGCTTTAACATTTATTTAAAATACTCAACTTAAATAAACACTATTATAAACTTTAAATAACGCTAATAATTGCTAAAAATCTTAAATCCTAAATACCTAATATTTCAGAAGTTTCCGGTAGTAGAAACAAACTTAATGTAAATTTTGAATGTTTTATTGCAGGTCTGTAAACCGTTTTATTGCGTTGAGCACTTTTTTAAAATACGTGTCAAAAGTAGTAAACGCGAAACGTTGATTTTTGTTGATATGTATATCTAATACCTTATTTTTCCAAATTTGGAATTGTCAGTAGTGATTACTTAATACTACGCTTGGTATGAAATGCAAATTGCAAGCTATAAGTTTTCATCGTGATAATACGGAATAAGCAAATTTGATCAATTTGCGTATATGGTTTTGCATTGTTTCTGCATCTCAAAACTCTTTCGTGTTACGTAAATTAATTTGCGGAAAGGCAAAATCAGACATTTAAACACAAGTTTATCTATGCAATGGTTAGGTTTTTAAAGATCATTAATTAACACCTGACAACATCTCTCCCCTTAATGTGTTCTATATGATAAAATAACCCTGGTTTTTAAACAAAAAATATTTTAGTGGTAACTCATTTAATAGGTCACTAAAACTAATAACAAAAAAGTTTTTTTTAAAAAAATGTCTTTCTAAGTCTTAAAACAAACGAAGTTATATAAAAACATTAAAAATAATTTTAATTTTATAAAAAATATTAATAAAAAAAAATTATAACTATACAAATTTTTTAAAACGAATGTTTTTTATTTTTGTTGAAAAATGACGATTTTTAGGCAGTAAAATCTTAAACACTATTTTGTTTATTTTATATATAAAATTATTATTATTATTGAAAATTTTACATAATTTCGCTTCATTTGAGACCCAACAGGACATTATTTTATTTAAATATATTCTGCGACGCTATTATCTCTATATAAATCAAACACACTGCCACCAGTCATATAAATCATATATGACTGCAATACATACATCAATATGTAATGTAGGAGGTGGTAACTTTATAATTATTATTTCATTTTTTTGCGAAATCCACAAAGCTAACTTTCTTTGATATATATATATATATATATATATATATATATATATATATATATATATATATATATATATATATATATATATATATATATATATATATATAAAAGTATTTCTTTGAAAGATTTGTGCCAGTATAAATTTAAAATAATCTTATTTTCTTGTTTTATAAACTCTATGAAAATATATAAGATAAAGCATATTATGCATATTATTAATAAACAGTATATATCGTTTACAGTTTACTACAATAACCTATCATTTGGTAGTAAAACTTAAAATAAAAAGTTTTCACAATTATTTTTACATTTTACATTTATTTTTACATTTTACATTTATTTTTACATTTTACATTTATTTTTACATTTTACATTTATTTTAACATTTTACATTTATTTTTACATTTTACATTTATTTTTACATTTTACATTTATATTTACATTTTACATTTATTTTTACATTTAACATTTATTTTTACATTTTACATTTATTTTTACATTTTACATTTATTTTTACATTTTACATTTATTTTTACATTTTACATTTATTTTTATACCAATCACTATTCAACTGCCAGAAAATGAAGTCCACATATTTTCCAGTTTCTAGTAACCACCTCCAAATATTACACGACGGTAGTTCTCATTGGGTATTTGCATTTGCTTCAAATGGCAGGGTTCAAGTGTGCGATAGCCTGCGCACTAACCTAACATCGATTTCGAAAAAATGTTTCAAATCTTCCTTTCAACCACTTGTGATGAATGGAAAGCTTGGAGTAACATTTCTTCCCGTTGATAAGCAAATTGATAGTTTTAATTGAGGTGTCTTTGCTTTGGGTTATACAAGTATATTGCTGAATGAAAAATCCCTTCTTGATGTTCGATTTGTTGTGAATGAAATGCGCACTCACTATATAAAATGTTTGATAGACGCTTTCTTATATTCTTTTCCAAGACTTGAGTAATTACGAAAGAAAATATTTGCGTTAAATACAAAATATGAAAAATACCTAAGCCGTCCATAGAGGATGCCATCCTTTTTTAGGCGATTTCACTCCCCCAGGCGATGACTACCTATTTTAAAAATAATTAAAAAACTCATTTGATCTCATTCCATATTTTATGGGTTTATTTTTGAAAATCGTCTTTTTTATAAGTTGGATAAAGGTTATTATAAGACCTTATTAGCGAACTAATAAAAAAAACAATTTTTATCCATCTTGTGACATGCAGGGCTGACGAATGGGGGAGAGAAGGTAGGGCCAGGGTGCAAATGCCCCTTCTTACTTACTTTTTATTTATTAAAGAAGTTGATAAATTTTATCAAAAATCGAGGATTTTTTTTTAATAAGGTAGTGTGTTCTCCCCCACCCCCCACCCACACACACACACTGCAAAAACCGTGTCGTAGGCCCTGATGGACATTAAAAGTATGACGTTAAAATAGAAATTGCAACAGGCAACCCTGATATTTTACACTTTAGCAACAATTTTGAAAATATATATTGGTATATACTCTAACGATATATACATAAAAGCACGTTTAAATAGTTTTCCATATTATTTAATATAAAAATATAAAAAAAATCTTCAAGTGAAGTCCTTTTCTTGTATCAACTTTTTGTCTAACAATCAATCTTGGGTTAGCAGCAACTTAGGAAATTTTAACGAGCTGACTAACTCAATTTCAGCAGCCTTTTCAATTATCTAATTGTTTCGTATACATTTCCATACATGCAAAAGTTAGCTTAGGAAATTTTAACGAGTTGACTAACTCAATTTTAGCAGCCTTTTCAATTATCTAATTGTTTCGTATACATTTCCATACATGCATTAAATCAAAAAGTAAAAAAACGTCATCAGATGTTAACCATAGAGATAAGCAATCAAATTGTTTAAAAAAATAGTTTGATTTACTCTATTATAATCATTATTTAACTAGGATATTATTTCGATTATATTCAAAATACAAATTATTTACTGGTAACATGCTTACTATAAATTTTGTTCCCTCATAAAAACATACAACCATGACAGCCAATATAGCAGTTGCAAAACTTGATTCATTGTTTACTACTTTACGGTTCACATTAAAAAAGCTTCAAAAGAAGGTGATCTGGTTAAAATATTTGCTTTACCAAACAAATGTCCCCGTGATAAGTTAGCATATAACTGCAAAATATTCTAAATGAATCAACTTCGTCAATCTGTACTAATTTTGAAAGTTCATCTTTTTTTACTGATCTTAGAGACTCTCTAAGCTCTCTAAGAGAGCTTTTACCTATTGTTATTGTTCTTTTTTTAGTGGAAGAGATGGAACTAAACTCTAAATTAATTTAAATACACTAGGTGGATCTCGAGGATTTCCTTTTACTTTAATAACTAGGAAGTTTGATGGATAATGTTTTGCGCAAACTACAATGTAATATTTATATAGTATATTGTCTATTGGGAAAGCTTTAATCCATTTTTGGCGCTCTTTAAGGTCTCTTAGAAATTCTGGAAGTATTTGTCTTATCTTTTACTGAGTCATAGTTATAGTTACAACCAGTTTTCTGTGCATTTTCAACTTAATTTTCTAGGCGTTGCGCAATGTTATTTCAGTTCACCCTGTAGCGAAATGATCTTTCAATTTTAAGAGATCATTGGATTTCTAATTTACCGTTTCACTCATAATTTCCTGGTAAATCTAAACGCGAAAGGTATTAATTTACCGGGAAATTAAGACTTCCGAAGTCATAATTTCTCGAGTCATAATTTAGCGCGACGCCGGCCTTTTTTAATGCAAACTATAAGCATATGCCTCACAATCTTGTTTACATTAAGATCTTTACGTTGAATAAAATCAATAGAATTGCAAACGTATATATATACGTTTGCAATTCTATTGATTTTATTCAACGTAAAGATCTTAATGTAAACAAGATTGTGAGGCATTATGCGTTGAGATAATAAATAAATTAGCTAAAAATTTCATAATCAATGCTATTTATAGAACGCCAGATGATAGTTAAAAAACATTCAAAACTTATCTGCGCACATTCCTAAACACAAAAAAAATATTGCAAAAGCATGTTTACGTAGTTAGGGATATCAACATTGACTTACTAAACCATGCCTTAAATAGTGAAGCAAAAACTTTTAATGATATTCTTCTCGAATACAATCTTATCCCAACTATAAACAAAGCAACAAGAGTAACTAAAAAATTATCGACATTATTAGATAATGTTATAACTAACAATTTTCATATTAGCCGTTTAAAAAATGGTATAATCAAGACTGATTTAACTGATCATTTCCCTATATTCCTTATTACTGAGAGCGTTTTATCTAAATAATTCTACCCACAAATCAACAGCATTCATGAGACAAATCAATGAAAGTTCCATATGCCAATTTAAATATTAAATAATTACGTCGATTGGAATCTTGTACTGCAATCACACGATGAAAATAATGCTTATGATTTATTTCTAAACCAATTTTCTAAAATGTATGATAAGGCATTTCCTTTAAAAGTGAAAGTATTAAACTCAAAGTTTGTTGTATCCCCATGGATGACCAAAGTCCTACTAAAATCATCAAGGAAAAAACAAAAATTGTATGATAAATATTTAAAAAATAAAACTTATAAAATTGAAACTAATTACAAAAATTATAAAAGTTTATTTGAAAAAACTAAAAAACGATCAAAAGTAAATAACTATGCTAAACTGCTTGAAAAAAACAAAGGAAACAATCAAAAAACGTGGAGTGTTATTGGAGACTTAATTGGGAAAAATAAAATTGAAAAAAATAACTTACCGCAAAAACTTATTATTGAGGGAAAAATGACTTATAATAAAGAAGTTATTATTGAGAAATTAAACAATTTTTTTCTTGATGTCGGCCCAAACCAAGCAGCAAAAAATCCAGTTGGTCATAAAAA